TTTTCTCCCTCTTAGATTTGCCTATCCACCTGTTCCAGCCACATTGCCTGTCTTATTGCTGGTTATCTGGAAGAGCAAATGAGAAAATCTGTATCTGGAGGTAGTATTTTGACCTCATAGTTACATGCTTTGTCCCAAATCATGGGTAACACCATGAGCTTGATATTTTAAGATTTAGTATCTGCTTACACAAATTTCTCCTGACATATTAATTAGTCAACCCAGGTTAACTTGGAAGACTGTCTCCAGTGACGTACCCAGGGCCCTGTTCTGTTTAACATTTTAAGCAAATGAGTTAGCTAAAAATCCAGGAGACAAATTTGTCAAATTTTTGTTAACATAAAGAAAGCAAGAAGTTATAGGTAAGGTTTTAGATACCGAAATTAACACTCAAAAGACCTCAGTGGGCTAGAACCCTGAGTCAAACTGAACAAGATAAAGCATTGCTTAGCAAATGATAAAGCTGAGCCTTAAGGTTAAAATAAAATCAATGGTACAGTTATACGAAGGGCTTAAGAGTAGTTTGTATGGAACTAAAGGGCTTAAGGGTAGTTTGTATGGAAAAGTCAGTATTAGTGGCGTTCCTTCCTTGCTAAATATAATATTACTAAAAATAGCTGGGTATCCTAGATGGCTTAGTGGAAAAATACTGCCACAGTCTGTCTCAGGAGTAGATCTGAGTTTTAGACTGAGATGCCTTGGAACTATATCATCTGAAATGCAATGGACAAACTATGGTATACCTAACATAGAGAAACATATTGTGAGGTTAGTTTCTGTGGTGATTCCAAGTTCCACACAGGGATTGAGGGGTTTCCTGGTTCATGAGACTTTCAATAATAAAATCAAGAAAGTCCTAGACAAACTAGAATAATTGTTCACACTACACAATGCTTCAGCCACACTTACCTCCTATCTATTCAGTAAAGTTAAACTTGTTCTTGCCTTAGAATACTTGCTGTTCCCTCTGGCTTGGGCCTCTCGTGTAGATTTTCACATGGCTGTTTCCTGTATCATTTTGGTCTCAACTGAAATATTGCCTTCCACGAAACTGCACATCTGTAATAATTATCTTATTCCACCACTCTCTTTCATATCACCCTGTTTTACTTTCTTCATAATAATTCTCACTACCTGAAATTATTTTGTTATTTATTATTTTCTGTCTCACTCCATTAGAATATTGGTTAAATAAAAGGAGAGGCCTTATCTCTTGTTTATTACTGTAACCTCAGCAACTGGAGCAGAACTGGACATATAATAAAAATTCAATAAATATAATATTTATTGGTTGGATAAATGAATCTGCATGACCACGAGGCCTAGATTAAATCCTCCCATATATACACCAAAAAGCTCTGGAAAAAGTATCATGGGATAAGTAAAATCCAGATACTTTGTAAACTTTCAGATTAGGTTGCACAAGTCAGTATACTATGAGGATGAGTTTAGCATGCCCTGATTACAAGGTGGGAAAGTTGTTGTTAATTTGGATTTAGGAGATTACTAAGTACTGTCTATACCTAGAATAGCTGAGTCTGGGCCATTTGCATGCTCTGTACTATGCTCTTGAAGTGAAATAGGTCTATTTTCCTCTTAAACTTATTAAAATTCTCTGATTCTGGTCAAACTGTCATTAGGGACTTTAAGAAATGTAAAATTAAAAGATTCAGAGAAAAATATCCATTGTTTCATAGCCAATATCCCTTTAAGAAATATTGGGCATAGAATTTCTTTCTATTATGAACTCCCAGATGGTATAGTTTTTTTCTCCCCCTCCCCAAGAGTCCAGTTCATTCCATCATAATTAAGTCCATAGCATCATTTCCCCTCAATGCTTCTTTAACCTCCTGAGAAATGAAATTGTCAGCTAGGCAAATCCCGAATTTATCAGATGCCCTGCTTTTAGCAGAGTGAGACTTCCATCAGATGCCTGGACAGCTGAAGCCTTCCATTCCTACTATAGTTTGCATCTGTTCTGTAATCTTCTACTATAGTTTGCCAGTTCTGTAATCTTCATTAGGGAAGCATCAACCATGTCCTCTCTGAAATATTTCCTTTATAGCACTGAAATTTCTCTCAATTTATATGCTCCTGCAAACATTCACATTCTTACTCTTGTTCATATTTTTTTGGATTTCCATGCAGGTTTGATATATTTTTAACATACAGGGTGAGAAGATCCCTAGAATATAACCATAAGGAAAGGGAAAATCCTTACCACTGACCCTCTATAGACAAGTAGGAGGAACTCACGTAAGTCCAATGTGAAGTGATTATCTGGCTGAAAGTCTTCCCCATCTGTTGTCTTTCAACTGAACACTGTTCTATCTATCGGTCAACATATTTTTTGTGTGTCATGAAACTAAAGATTAAAATTTTCAGGACAAAAATATTTTTCAGAGTGAGGTGACCAAAACCAGATGGGATGATAAAAATATTTGAATGGAAGAATCCATTTAGTCCAAATGACATCCAAAGGATTTATTTCAGCAAGCATCTTTTAAGAATTTCTTCTGTGTACAGTAGAGAGCCAGAGAAAACAGAGATGATTCAGATTTGAACACCAAATTCAGATTGCTTAGAGCCCCTAATGTGTATACTCATCCTTATACAGTTATACAGTCTGACATCCCTCAAGTGAAAAAAAAAATCTAACTCAAAATAAAACTTTGTCTAATCTCTGTTGAATTCACAGTCATACTTAGGAGATAGCCTGCTTGAGCAACATAGCATATCATTCAGAGGACCCAGCAGACACCAAAGTTGTTAACACAGCAGACGCTATGGTGAACATCTTAGTCTCCAAAAGTCCTCAACAATAATTCTTCATAGCACTACTTGAACATTTAACATGTAAGCAGAAAAGAAAGTAAAAGAATGAAGAACTGCCCAGATTGAAGAAAGTCTCTCTTTTAGAAAGACGAGCTCTGGTTTCCCACCACCACCATGTTTACTGATCAGGATCATTGCTATAAGGAACATTCACTGAAATTCTCATTAACCAAGTCAGAAAGAAAATGAACTTTATTTTAATGAGCTAAATATAGCAGATGTCTTCTCCTCCTCCTTTGTTTTTCCTCTCTCTGTATTGGGAGATTTAATTGCAAAACAGGGATGTCCCATAAGTCCCCAAAGTGGAAAATTTTCTTCAAGACTGAGGTTATCAATTCTTAAACCACCACAAGATTATCCAAATTTCCAAAGCTCACTCGTGCGTTTGAATTCTGGCTTTTTAAATGCTGATTTCTTTTTAAATGCTGCTTACATATTTTTGGTTTGTAAGTAAACCGTATTTCAGCAAACACCAATATTTTAAAAGTACCACAATGTATTCAGAAAGGACATTTCCTCAATTTCTTTTTCTGTGTCTGGCAACAAAGTAACAGAATTTGGGACGTTACAAGAAGAAATATCATTTTAATATTTGCGCAGGCAAAGAAAAGCTACATGTCATGAACTTGCATCTATATTACTATTATGTATGCTAGAGAATGAATTTTTATTGTTTTTTGGACACCAACCTTTCATGACAGCCTTATTACAATCCTCCTCTGTGTAAATAAAAGAAAAGGATATTTAAACAAGTAGAGATAAATGTGCATGATTCACCAGCACAGTTAACTCAAGATTTTCCAGCCTTATAACCACAACTGATAGGAAGATTTATTACCACAGCTGCTTGTATTAAACTTTTTTTCCCTTGCAGTTGAAGGAATCAAATTTCTTCTTGGAGATTAGTCATTTGTGGGGGTGTCGCCAACTGCAAAATGCTTCTGTTATGAATGAGGTGCACTCCTCTGTTGCTGTCCTCCAGCCCTAAGTCAGTGAGTAATTTTCATCTTTTTATGTGTCTTTCCCGCCTACCATCAGGAAGAAATTCTAATGACTTACACAGTCAAACTTTCTTTAGTTGTTACTCAAACCGAAAACTTCAAATTGTATTGTCTCTGGTAACGTGATAACCTTACAAGGAACGGTAGGATAAACTGGCATTTCGGCACACGTTTACAAAGATAAAAACCAAACTGTAGGGAAAGGTGATAGCAGGTGTGAGAGCAGGAAAGGTGCTGACGAATCTTGGGTGGCTGTAAATGTGCCACCACTGGCACAAGATCTTTGTAAAAATTATCTCCTGTAATTATTGGAACAATCCTGCAAGAGGTTAAGTGATATTCCCATTTCACATACAAAGAAACTGACTTTCTCAAGATTGGACAGTTTTTTAATGGCGGAACCAGAATTTAAGGTTAGATCCAGCTGGCTCCCTTGCCTTCTTTTTGTATTTTGACATTCTGCCTTTTAGGTATAAGGAATTATCCAATTCTGTATAGCACTAATATAACTACACAGTACAGAGAGATTGATGCTGTATCTAAATAAGAAAATTTTAAAACACACAGACATCAATTGGTCACCTCTTTCGCTCTCTACTAAAATCATGTAAAACTGTCAGGGCGCTGTGTTTTCTCTTTTAACACTTCTAGAAACATGTATTCAAAATTTGCCTTGTCCCTCTTCACAATTTCTGGTAACTACAGCCTTCATGGAATCTTTCATCTAATAAGATTTTCTCATCATCCTTTAAACCATATGGAGATGCAAATAGTAAGCTTCTGTCAATTGAAGATAGATTTCAGAACAATTGAACAAGGAGTGACATTGCAGTAAATCCACCAATCACTTGGTTTATAGCATGCCAATTTGGCTGGTGGTGTTTTTCTATTGAATTAGCTGATTGCTTTAGCTACATGGACACTTTCTAATTTATCATCCATAAGTGGTTCTAATATTACATGTAAGAAGCAGGAAAAAAAAGGTTGAAAATTAAAGACATATTTCAAGCATTCACAACTGGATCCTTGAGTTTAAATTTAAAAATTATTTCTTAAGTTGGTGAATCAACTTAAATAAAACTGATAAACACACTTTTGAGGGGGAGAGGTAGGATATTTGCCTCTTTGGAAAGAGGGGTCAAGGATAAAGTCAATCATCTAGCCATGCTCCTTTATGTGAGTAATAATTCTGTTTGACTCTGTTAATGATTGTCTTACTTGATCAAACACAAGTACTTCTGTTTAGTCTCTGGAAGTCCATACAATGTAATCAGTCTGTCCTAGTCATATAAGTTTCTTCAAAACAGAAAGGCAGAGAGAACATACATTCCCATTACTGGGTACTTGAACAGATGAACCTAACCCAGTAAAACAAATAGCACACAATAATTAGAGCTCCAGAACATGAGTTGTAATAGGCTATTGAGATGCTCTTCCTCTTATTTCATCATGTAGGTGACATTATGTTTTGTCTTCTTTACCAGCAACTGAGCGGAGCAAATGGGCAGTCAAAAGACAGACAATGCCTCGGAAATAACTGAATTCATTCTTGTTGGATTTTCCCAACACCCTCAAATCCAGACTGCCTTCTTCTTGGGACTGTTGTTTTTCTACCTGGTCACAATGTTTGGGAACAGTCTTATTGTTGTAGGGAGATGGGATCCTCGACTGCATACTCCCATGTATTTTTTTTCTCGGTAACTTATCTTTCCTTGATACCTGTTATTCCACCATCTGAGAGCCGTATGTCTTGGCCCAATGCTTCAGGGACTTCCCGACCATCTCCTATACCAGCTGTTATGCCCAGATGACCACATCCCTCTTTCTGGCAATGACAGAATGTCTCCTCCTTGCTGTCGTGGCTTATGACAGGTTTGTTGCAGTCTCTAATCCTCTGCATTACACTATAATTATGAACAATCAGGGCTGCATACAGTTGGCCTTGGGAACCTGGACCAGTGCCTTTTTAGTAGCAGTCACACCAATCATTGCAATTCCTGCTCGTTATTGTGGACACAATGTCATAAACCATTTTACCTGTGAGATCCGAGCCCTGTTGAAACTCGCCTGCTCAGACACACCTGTCAGTCTTATCCTGGGTCTGGTTGTCAGTGTGTTCACCCTGCCCCTTCCCTTCACCTTCATACTCATTTCCTACTTCTGCATTGTGGCTGCCATGATGAGGATTCATTCTGTGGAAGCCAGGCTCAAAGCTTTCTCCACTTGTGGTTCCCATCTGACTGCGGTCACCATATTTTATGGAACAGGAATGTACATGTACTTGAAACCTCAGTCAAAGGAATCCTGGAAAAAAGACAAATTTATCTCAATACTTTATGGAGCAGTTACTCCCATGTTAAATCCTTTCATTTACACCCTGAGAAATAAAGACGTAAAAGGTGCACTTAGGAAGTTAACCAAAGGAAATGAAAAATTCTAATACTTCTCTTTAAGCTTCTCAATGTGTAGTAAAAACAACAAAAAGATGACTCATTTCACTTTGTGTTTTTTTAAAACAAACAACAATAAAAATCTTAGTGAATATTCTTCCCAGGGTCACCACTAGACATTCATTAACAAGTTTATCATCAAAATGAACATTTTGTCAAGCCACATGAAGACGTAAAGCCATGAATATGCCCAAAACAGTTCACAGAGAGACAACAGTAGCAGGTATGTGAAAGCGGGAGCAACAGTTACAGTAAACCATCAGGGAAAGCTTCCTTTTCTGGGGCATATGCCACAAGTTTTTCTAATCAAACATTTTGTTTGTACTTAAACACAAGGTGGATAAAATTCATATACAAGCCGTGGGCTACACAACCATAGTGTGGCTGTTCCTCACATCACATTTTATAGGCTTCCGCCCCAATTTGAACCTAATGAACAAATGGCCCCTGTTCCCACATTGAGGTGATAACATCTCATGGCAAGAAGTATCTTATGTCTGTAAAGCATTTTGTCTTTTAATAAGTGCTTATAAATAAGTCAGTTTATACTTATAATTTTTTAAAGTATTTTATATATTATAAATATTTACCATTTCTCAAGCAAAATTGTTTCTACAAATATTAAAGTTCCATCATATCAATTTCTTATAAAAATATCTAAGCTAAAATTGTTATTCTTTTGCCTTCTCCTATTTCTCTGCCTTCTCGTCCATGCTGGGTTTTAGCAACCCTCTGGCCATTTCAACTCCCACTTCTCATACACATTTATGAGCTTTTGCTATTCCCAAGAGTCTTTATGGCCAAGCTTGTGATTATTTTTCTCTTTTTCTCCATCTAATAAGATGACATATATGTACATACACTCTCTATTGCAGGTAGCCAACCTTTATTATACACTTTGTATCATGGTAACTTGTTGATTGTTTTTCTCAACTTTGACTAGCTAACCCCAGAATTCTTCCTTTATAATATATTCAGAAGGTAGCCATATATGTCTTGATTTTAAAATTCCCTTTCCTCTCACAGCCTTTTCTTGGGCAGATGGCTCTCAGGTCACAATATTTTGCACCCTTAGTTTTGTTTTGTTTTGTTTTTTCCCTTTGCTTTCTTTCTAAAGGTTGATCTTTTCTGTGTTTAAAAAAAAAACCTACATTGCAACTTTTTTTTTCTTTTGGGGGATTCATTGACAGTACAAAGAATTAGGTTACAGTGTGCCATGCACCATAATCCCCCATCCCCTCCCTCCTTCCCCTACTCCCCCACCTTGTATTAGATCATCTACTGCCTTCATATTAAAATTTAGTACATTGGATTCTGGCTTCTCCTTTCTTGTAATGCTTTACTAAGAAGAATGTGTTCCAATTCAATTCAGGTTAATACAAAAGATGTAAAGTCTCCATCTTTTTAATGACTGCATAGTATTCCATGGTGTGTGTGTGTGTGTGTGTATGTACCAGCACTTGTTAATCCACTCCTGGGTTGGTGGGCATTTAGGTTATTTCCATATTTTGGATATTATAAATTGAGCTGCAAAAAACCGTCTACATTTCAACTTTTTAAACACCAAGTCTCTCTTTTCTACTTCCCTACTTTCTGTGTTTTTGAAAACTTATATTCAAAAAATTACATTTATTATAAAGAATAATTAGCTTCTAATTTTTGCTAACCAGATGCATGTATTGGCATGACATAAGCAAGATTAGGTACTAAAATTCCAGCCCAAAGCAAATAACAATTTCATTAGTCTTTTTCATTAATCTCTTTTGTTGGAAAATATATAATTTGCTTTGAACTTTTTGAAAAAATAACTATTACTTGAAGATCTAAGATTGAAAACTAATCATTCCATCCCTGATGGAGCATAAATCAATCTAAGGATATTGGATTTTTCAAATCAGAGGGAGATTTTTGTTACAGTATGGAAATATTTTCCACTGTGAATGTTGAACTAAAAATTGTTCAATAAATAAATTAGTAGTAGTAGGAGTATATGAAGAAAATAAAAGAAAAGCACAAAAAAGTGTTTTAAAAAAACCGACAAAATTATCTTTTTCCATAAGCCTTTTGCCACTTAGTCCTTAGTCATGATTTGTTGCTCAAAGATTAAAGGCAAAAACAATGGAAAGTAGCAATTCTACATTGATCCAGCCTGACTCTCCTTCATTATGAATTTTATTTTGGATCAGTTTTCCTAGGTATTAAGAGGTCCAGGAAAATGTCCATGTCAGTTTCACATGTATAGTCACAACTGCTTGGATTGTAGACAATGAAACCAGAAAACTTCCATTCAAATTCAACCTCCACATTTATTAGCTGTGGCATCTTGGGCAAATTACTTAATTGCTCTGTGCCTCACTTTCCCCCCATCTGTAAAATAAAGATAACAATAGTATTCTTCTTACAGCATTGTTGGAGGGATTAAATTGATAGTCCATATGAGGTTTTTAGATCAGGCCTTGGCACATAGTAAACATTTCATAAATATGAGATGCTATGCTATTTTCTAAAAGCTTCCAAATACTCATTTTTTTCTGTGCTCTAAAGTCTATTTCCTTTACACATATTCCCCTCCAGAGTTTACAACAAGAAGCGTCACTAACCCACTCTCTAATTTTAGAAACACAGCAATATCATATTTCCCTTTGGCTCTCATTTTTATGGCTTTGCTCTTAATCTGGTTGACTCCTATTCCAGTTTCTCTGACCTATGCTTGGTATATTTTAAGAAGAGACAGCCCCAAACTTAGGAATGAGTTATGTCCAAAAGCTAACTCATAAGTCATCAGCTTGGAACTCAGAGCACGTTTTCCCCACTGAGATGGGATGACTACATTCCAAGGGCTGCTCATCAACACCTATTTAGGTCATCATTCTATCACTAACAATACGAAAATTCTAAAACCATACATTTTAAGTATGTTTATTGGAAGATAGATTTTGAGTCCCCATTTAGGATCCTATTAAATGGGACTACTGCTCAAAAACAAAAAAACTCTGCCGTGAGTGTCTCTGCTAACACCCTTGTGCCCTAGTGGGTGCCATGAGGAATTCTGATAGTAAAGTGCAAGAGTGGGACTGTGATGCTAATTAGTTGTTTCTGTGTCTGGGTCCCTCACAATTCCAAGCGCTGCTGACCTTCTCTTCATTTCTTTTTGTGCTGTTTCTGATTTTGGATGACTTGTTAATCCTATACCTGGGGCCAATCATTTCACAGACATTTGCTCAGTGGCTACTGTATATTAGGGATACAAATCCAGATAAGACACGTCCTGCCTTTGAGAGGCTCACATTGGAGCTGGAGAGCAAATAAGCACAAAGAAGGACTGTAATCCACATTTGTATAAGGTATAGTTCTAACTGGGCCAGTCAAGAAATATTTAATATTTTGTCAGAGTCTTGAGAGAGTTTGCCAGTTGGAAACAGAAGCACAATTTTAGTGGATGTAATGTCAACAAGCACAGAGGTACAGAACCCAACTTGGTGTACTTCCAGCCAACAATTCAACATAACTACAGCAGAGGGTGTAGGAAGTGTTTCTGGCAATGTACAAGACCTGAGAAAAAAGCAGTAAGCCAGATTACAGGGAGACTGCTATGCTCTCTTCATGAGCTTACACGTTATTTATTCCATAGGTCAAAAAACTACAGTCTGACAGGCCAAATCCAGCCCTTGGTTTATATAGCACACAAGCTAACAATGGTTTTAAAATTTTTAAGGGATGTAAGAAAGGCACAAAAGAATCTTTTACAAAGACTGTGTGTGTCCTCCAAGCCTAATATACATATTACCTGGCCCTTTTCAGAAAAAGTCTGCAGACTCCTACACTAGGGGGGTGGGTATTCATTGAATGTTTTTGAACAAGCTAGAAAAAGGTTCAAATTGTATTTTATAAAGATCGATTTCACAACAAATGTGAATTGTTGATTGAAGATGGATAAGATTGAGCACAGGGCAATATGATTTGGGCAATAGTCTGAGAGCTGATGTGGGCCTGAACTAGACGGTACCAATAGGGCTTTGGTCATGACCTGTACCATAGAGTGCTCCTTCCTTTTTTCATTTTTATATGCAATTTCATTCACATTTGACATTTATTTTTTCAGAGGCAGGTTCTTTAACACAGGTATAATAAGGGGCCTCAAGGGTAAGGCGCTGTCACCCTCAGCATCATTCATTTCATTCCTAATACGCAGTAAGCACAGAAAGATATGGAGAGGATAAGGTCCTAAGAAACATACTGATGTTTTATTTATATTCATGTTCTCTGTTCCAGAATAGCTTTATATCTTATATTAGGCTGTCTGGAAAGTATCCAGCTGTGTATGCCTTTATTTTTTAATATGACCTGGCTGGATACTTTCTGGACAGCTCTTGTATAAAATTGCACTTTCTTCAAGCAAACCATTTTTATTTAAAGATAATAAACATCTTCTGGCTTCTTACATAATCTCTGAAGTTCACCGATCACCTATCACTCCTTTAGACATCCTTTAGATGTGCCTCACGCATCGTGAATCATGCCATCATGAGCCTCAATAGGAAGCTTTCAAAAAATGTTGTTTAGAAATGTCAGTGACTTTTAGTTTCTAAGTTTTTCTTTGCTCAAACATCATTTATCCTCTCTGTTTCATTACATTGGTCATTTTGTTCTTATCCCATAAAAATTTGCTCAGACCATCTAACTATGTCTTGGAATAATTATGTCTAATTTTTGTTCAAGATATTTTCATAAATTTTATCGCATTTGAACTTCACAGCAATGTTAATTCACTTTAAAGATAAGAAATTTAAGAATCTGAAAGGTAAAAAGATTTGCCCACAGTCACACTGCTGATTACACAGTAGAAGAGGGGCTAAAATCCATCTCTGACCCCAAAGTGGATAGATTTACCACTGTGCTGCCTCCGTAAGGACTGCAGATCCAGATTTTCTCATCAACACCTTGTTTATGATGTTCCCTCACATTCTGAGCTGTGAAGTCTGTTGCTGAG